CTTAGGTAATGGAAGCTTGCCCCCTCAATTAGCATTAGCATGTTTCAGTCATCGCACATTTGCCTCAAACCGTGTCTAGTTGTTTCTTTAATCTACTCGTTATTGTGTTTTCTGACACTATACCACACTACAACCCTAATTCCACAAAGATGTGACGCTGTGTAAAATGTAAATAAATGTAAATAAAAACTCACAGACTCATTTTATTCGCAGTAGAACATAGAACACATCAGATGTTGAAGGTGAGACATTTTACCATTTCATGAAAAATATGAACTCATTTACAACTTGATGGCAGCAACGCAAAAAATTTGGACAGGGCCGAGTCTACCATTGTGTAGCATCCCCTCTTCTTTTAACAACAGTCTGTAAACGTCTGGGAATTGAGGAGTTTGCTGTAGTTTTGGGAGAGGAATGTTGTCCCATTCCTGTCTGATGTAGGATTCTAGCTGCTCATCAGTCCTGGGTCTCCTTTGACGGATTTTCATTTCATGACGCGCCAAATGTTTTCTATTGGTGAAAGGTCTGGACTGCAGACAGGCCAGTTCAGCACCTGGACTCTTCTTCTGCGAAGCCATGCTGTTGTGATGGATGCAGTATGTGGTTTCGCATTGTCTTGGAGAAATATGCAAGGCTTTTCCTGAAAAGGGGTCATCTGGATGGGAGCATATGTTGCCCGAAACCTGTATATTTCGTTCAGCATTAACGGTGCCTTCACAGATGTGCAAGACACTAATGCCATGTGCATTAATGCTTCCCCCAAACCATCATGAATACTGGCTTTTGAACTGTGTGCTTATAACAAGCTGGGAGGTCTTTAGTCTGGAGGATGCAGTGTCCATTATTTCCAAAAAGAATTTCAAATTTTGATTCTTTGGACCACAGGACACTTTTCCACTTCGCCTCAGTCCATCTTAAATGAGCTTGGGCCCAGAGAAGTTGGCGGCGTTTCTGGATCCTGTTTATATATTGTTTCTTCTTTGCACAATACAGCTATCACTTACAGGTATAGAAAAGCGTTATTTTAAGTTGACTAATCTATGCGTTTTGATCGCAGTGTGCTGATTTAATTGAATTAGCCTGCATTGATTCAGGTTGCATAGGGTTAATCCATACGTGCGGTCGTTTTGTTTACCATGTGCAGGCCTGCTCAGCGTGCTCTTGTTTGCTTAGGTTTAATAGGTGATGTATAACTTGTGAATGTGAGGTACATCAAGCCATAGACTCTGATTAAACATTAACTACATATGTAGTTTTAATATTCACTTCATACTGAACTAGTGGTCCTTGAGTACCTCCATACCCTGCACAGACGTGGTGGGTGTTTTTTCCTGATTCAGCTGATTGGCGTATTTACAAGTGGGTGTGTTATAAGGCTAAAACATTGATCAGATCAATATATTGAAATGTTAAATACATCAGCAGAGCAGCTAAATATCCAGCATCTTCAAAAGCTCACGGTTGGTAATATAGAGATCCCTAAACTGGGAGGTCTGTAGGCCCATTCTGGCATAATGCAGCAGCTTACTTCACTACCCTGTAAATATTATGTGATTATTAGCTTACTACACCACAAAACGTCTACTTTTGGAGCATTGACTTGTCAGGAAAAAAGTCTGCCATCTGAAGGAGACCATTCAGTTACCTCATATGAGAATGTATCTCTGCCTATTACCAAAGTTCAGCTTATAATGTGATCTATCGCATATCGCTTCATTCAAAATGACGGAGTTGCTAAAGAGCTATTGGCTTGTTTCAAAGGTTCCCATACATTCCATTTAAAGTCAGTAGGTGGTTATTGTATTGTTTAATGCAGTGTTCTGTCATTTACTACGGTTGGTAGCAGTAATGTGTGATAATGTCATGTAAATTCTGGTCTGGAATGTCCTGCGAGCAACAGTGAAGACTTCTCACTTTCAAATGGACATTTTCTTCATTTTTCATTGAATTTTACAAGTTCAGGTGGTCGCTAGCTTGAGTCTCGATGATGCCACGTCCAAGACAGAGCAAACGTGGCCCTGTTTCATTGGTTGCAGGGATGTGTGGTATCTTGTTTTCCATGCTCTAGGACCCCTGACTCACCCACAAAGGCCTTTATAAATAAACATTAGTTAAATCTAAAAACTTACTATAACCGCAAACTAAACCACAACTCAGCTGAACTGAAGTGTTTAATTAAAATCTTAAGCTTATTAAATACTAAGGCTCATTAGCTCAGTAGCTACAGGGACTTCAATGCAAACTAGCTGAGCTATTTTTAGGTTATAAAGGTGTGTAATAACACTTTGGGCCCACCGGTGGGTTCTGGGTGTTTTAAAGGGTTAAAAGGTGACCAGAGTTTTCATCCATGCGTAAATCCCTGGCATTGATTTAAGTTTACTCCTAAATATAAAGGCATTTTTTACATTTATATTATGCTTAATGTGGAGCTGCATAACATATCGATTGTTAATCTTTATTATGATAATGCTGACATTGACGAATGTTGTATTGGTGAATGCTGATATTGGTAAATGCTGCAAATGACGTCTAACTAATTACAATGTTTTTTGTAATGTTCTTGTTCAGTCGCAGCTCCAGGTGAGATTCACTGGCTGTTTTGATGAATTAAGGTATTTATTTCATGCAGAAAATGCAAATTAACGTCACCGTCCAAAGAAAGAAGAAGAATCTCAAAATGTTAACTTTTCAGGGCAAAAACATTCTTTACCTTTAATGTACAACCCCATTTCCCAAAAAGTTGGGACGCTGTGCAAAATGTAATTAAAACAAAATTCAACGATGTGCAAATAATTTAAACCCTGTATTTCATTGAAAATAGTATAAAGACAACAAATCAGATGTTGAAACTGAGAAATTTTTGAAAAATATGCCCATTTTGAATTTGAGGCCAACAACACCTTCCAAAAAAGTTTGGACGGGGGCCTGTTTACCACTGTGTTTCATCACCTCTTCTTAAACAACACTCTGTAAGTGTTTGGGAACTGAGGAGACACTGCTGTAGTTTAGAAAGTGAAATGTTTTCCATTCTTGTTTGATACAGGATTTCAGCTGCTTAACAGTTCAGGGTCTCCTTTGTTGTATTTTTCATTTCATAATGCGCCAGATGTTATCAGTGGGTGACAGGTTGGGACTTCAGACAGGCCAGTTTAGCACCAGGACTTTTAATACAGAGCCATGCTGTTATAATATATGCAGAATGTGGTTTGTCATTGTCTTGCTGAAATAATCAAGGCCTTCCCTGAAAAAGACGTCGTCTGGATGGCAGCATATGTTGCTAAAGCATGTATATATCATTCAGCATTAATGGTGCCTTCACAGATGTGAACGTCACCCATGCCGTGTGCACTAAGGCACCTGTATACCATCATGAATACTGACTTTTCAAAATGGCCAAATATCTTTTAATAAACAGTAAAATTGATCAGTTTCAACATTTGATTTGTTGTCTTTGAAGCATTTTCAATAAAATATAGGGTTTAAATGATTTGCACAACTAACCCTTTTTTGGAAATGGGGTTGTAATTTAATGTAAAGAGTTTATTCTAAGCATTTTTGGAGCATTTCTGTTGGTCCGTCATGATGTTTTCATGTAAAAGGCAGCTGAGGTGCTCAAATGTTTTAAAAAAATGGCAGTACTTATTATTATTATTACTATTATTATTATTATTATTATTATTATTATTGCTGGCCTCAAATATATTGACCAATATGTTTTTGATCTGTTGCAGAGCATATCACAATTACAGGTATTTTCTATCTATGCTATTATCACATCATAGTGCTGTAGCTGTTCTTTAAAACATGTTATCTAAATGTCTAGCCCAGGTCCAAAGAGTGCTCCTGCATGCATGTTTCAGTAAAGCAATCTTTCACCCTCTGCTCTTTTTCTGGGTCGGCCTTTGGCGTCAGATGTTCCTCTCTGGCTTCTTCACGCCTGGTTTTGTTCTCAGGGCTTTATTGGTTCTTTGTGGGGCAGAAATTCCTCTCCGGAACATTTTGTGGCCCTTATTTTCTTTCACCTTGCCTCCTGTGCGGTCAGCGGCCACCCCACGAGCCCTTTACCTCCCCCCCACCACCCCCTCACAAAATTTGTCAGAGCACACAGTCCATGAACTTGGGCCCTGTTGCATCTCCTTCGAGTGGAGATAGGTTGGGGGGAGTAAAGGGGTGGGGGGTGCAGCTGGAGTCCAGTGGGGGAGGTGAGCGTTTGTGTAGGTTGTCAGGGGATGGGGGTGGAGTACAGATGGGGGTCAGAGGGGGGGAAGGTTAAGCGGTTGGACGACTTTATTTACCGTTTCCTGTGAAGAGACACCTGTGAGAGTGCGGCTCAACTGAGGGTGTTTACTTGTGCGCTTACTTATAGATGATGATGATGATGATGATGATGATGATGATGCTTTGCATTCCTTATTTGAGTTGAACTCCTCCTGTTTCTGGTTTATTATTCTGCTATTAATCTTTTTTTTTGTTATTTTATTGTTTAATTCAAGAAAGATGACAATAACAACATGGCAAAAATGGGGTCTCAACCCCCAAGAGTTCATCAAAATGGTAGACATGCATGATCATGAAATGAAATTGAATAAAAGAAACGAAAATGAGGAGTTTAAATAAAATGAGTTTCCAGTGGAAAACCTGTTGGTTTGGGTTTTGGAAGCCATGGCGATTATTATCTAGGTCTGATTGGGAAAATATTCTGGTGTGTTGGGATGGTTATCAATCTCAAGACTTCTTGTTCAGTAACTATTATGAATTATGCATTAAATCTCATTAATATTCATCATGAAACTGATATGTAAATACACCTTATATATTAGTTTCGTAATGACTATTAATAGTAAAAAAGGTTTCACGGGTTCGGTAGGTGGGATTAAGTTTCATCCTAATTGTTTATGCTGTGTGTATTGATGATGATGATGATGATGATGATGATGGTGAGGATGGTTATGGTGAGGATGGTGAGGATGGTCTGACAGTCATTACTCTTTTCTCTGCAGAATGGAGTTGGTGCGTGGGGGGAGGAGTCGGACAGCAGCAGAGGAAGAGGAGAGGCATCCAGAGATTTTGCCAAGGTGAGCTGACCGTATCAAACATGCATATAAAAATAATGGATCTCCTGATATCAAAAAATTAAATTTGAAACAGAATCTGTATCACCAATACAGACCCTCAGGATCTCTCATTTATCGTCAGTGATTAAAACTAGGCAGATGGGTGCGTCCTACCAGAGAAGGGATCGGCAACTGTAACTGCCCTGTTGTGGCTCCACAGCAGAATTAGATTTGTAGGTAAAAATAAAATAATCCTCCTTTACAGTAAAATAAAGCTCTGCTGATCGTTCAACACAGTTTAACAATAAATGCTCTTAAAAGCTGGAGTTAATGTAGAACTGCTAATTCACCCTTTAACCCTGAAACACAGAAAATAGCTAGTAGCCAATGAAAAGACAAAGAGAGAGATTTAAGACAAACATTGATAATTTTGGGATGAATGGACTTAGTATTTATAATCACTCCAGCTGGTTTCCTGTTACATTTAATCTGCAACAAGAAACTGTCAAACACTAAAAAGTTGCAAGGCTGAAGTCAGCTTCTTATTCAAATTCTTCTGTTCTACCTTAAATAGTGTAGCAGTTCTGTCGCCTCAGGCTGAGATTTAAGGTGGAACAGGAAAATTCAAACAAGAAGCTGGCGAATGAGAAGCGACTTCAGCCTCGTAAAAAACTGAACATTGAGAGATGTTGTACAAGAAACTGTTCCACTTTTGAGGAAAAGTTTCCTGCTGGAGATGCGAGAAAAGCAGCAATAACTGAACTAAAGCTTAAAGCGGAGAAACGTTAGTCTGTGTTTTTGTTTATTTATGTATATTTATAGACAATACTAGAACATCAGCACATACTGAGACAGATTTACAGCCAAGATGGTAAAATGGACATATAATGTTGTGGCTCTGAGGGTGGCTTGATTTTTGTTGAAAGGACAAAATGGCTCTTCTTAACATTTGAGTTGCTGACCTCAGTACCAGAGTAAAGTGGGTGGGAGGGGATGGGGTTTATTTTGTTAGGCACATAAAAAAAGTTTTATTGAAGATTTTTTTTTTTGTCTGAGCCAAATCCATCTGTTTAGTGTATACAAGTTGAGCACTGTCAGTCAGGACTTTTTTAAACACATCATAAGACCTCATTTACATGTGGATTTTGATTGGCTCTTGCCTGGGACACTGATAAAAATACCATAGCGCTAAAAAGACACCGGCATGCAAATCACCACCATGGTGACTTTATTAATAGCTCTTATTTACCATCTCCCACGTTTTGCCTGGCATGGTGCTGTTCCCGCCCAGTTTTATGAATCTGGCCCACGTGAGTGAATCCTCCCTGTGTAAACATCTTCCTGTCTGCTGTTTTCAAAACCACCTATCAGTGTTTGTTAGTTTATCTTTGAGTGGTTGCACTGTGGTGATGCTGATATGCCAAACTGTGTCCTTTCTCTCTCACCCCTGCAGTTGTATGAGCTGGACAATGACCCCAACAGAAAAGAGTTCCTGGACGATCTCTTTACTTTCATGCAGAAGAGAGGTAAGACGTTTCCCTCAGACTGGCTGGATGTGCTGTGGTCAGTTCTCCACTGTCTGTAGAGTTGATTATACACTTGGCAGTTGATGTTTACTTGGATTTGAGTTGGGTCAGAACCTATAACCTCCAGGGGATGAAGGTCCTGCAGAGACTTTAACACATCACAACATGTGCATACACTGTTATTATTATGTCATTATTCTGTACTGTTGGCAGCTCTCGCTTTTTCTTTTTGTCTCTGTTTGAAGATTTAACAGCTCAAATTTTTCATCTTACACAAACTTGCACAAAATACATCATAATATCTTCTCTTCTACTGACAAACACAAATATTGCATGGATTGCGAGTTTAGAATCGACACTTTCCATAGAACTTCAATGAGGCACTACTGAGAGGTAATTAATATGAAATTACAACATGTTTTTATTATGGTCAGCAGTGGCTAACTTTTAAGGGTTAAATGCAGCACTACCAGTCAAATACACCCGACTATGCCTGGTTCATTTTATAGTGCATAATAGTGCCTGTAGTGTAGTTTATAGGGGCTAACAAAGCAATAAACCACAAAAGGCCTTGCTTTATAGTAATATATCATGACTAAGGGGTGTTGTTTGGCACAGTGCTATTGGCTTATCGCTTTATAAATGTATGTTTAAAATAGACCAGTGTTAGGCCTGTCCCTGTCGATGACATGATTAAATGAGTAGTCTAGCAATGATTAATCCAGTGATATGTTGTTGTTTTTTTTTTTTTGTTTTTTGTTTTTTTTTCACTTCCTACACAGAGTTTAACACGAATTAGGCCAGATCTGCTTAAACATGAACATTCAGAGCTTGTAACAGACTTTTACTTTTTATGTTTTAGAGTGAATCCTTCAGTAAAGCCTATCTGAATATTATTGGAGGAGCCTGTTACAATGTTTCTCACTGCAAATATTTAGGTTTACATAATATACATGCAATTTGTAACTACAGCAATGTGTGCGTTGATGAGATCCTGCTGGTGTGGTTTTCCTCTCTTTCAGTGATGCTCACAAAAGCAGTTGAAAAAGTTAATAGCTCCCCCTTGTGGAGAATCAGCAGCCTGCCTAGTACAGCTGTATTATGACACACAGATACCATGTTTATCATTCAAATGTTAAACTGATTTATTTGAAATAGTTTAGCAAATATAAATTCATTTTGTAATCAAGAAATCTATTTTGATTAAGTAATCGTGACAGCACAAGTTGACGCGTTCATACAGTATTCGACTGATGTGTGAATGTGTGTGGTGTCGTATGTCAGGGGTGCACAACTCCGGTCCTGGAGGGCCGGTGTCCAGCAACGCACCCACTAAAGCTTGCAATTAACAGGTGAGTTGAATTAAGTGTTTGAGCAGGCAAATCACCAAACTGTGCTGGATGCCAGCCCTCCAGGACCGCAGTGCACCCCTGTTGCTTTGAAGACGGCTCAGCCAATCAGATTTCAGAACCGTTTCCTAAATTGTGTTAGCTAATGCTCTACGTAGTGGACCTTCTAAGGGAGTACAGATTCATTCAGCCCTCATTTACTCTGACTTCAGACTCTGTCATGATGAGGTTAGTCAGAGCGAATTAACTGACTGCCGGGAAACTGATTAGTGTGTGTTTATCGTTGGCCGTCTTCTGTCGAATCGCTAACTGCTCTTTACATCTGAGAAGAGAAAACTCCCACTGCCCTGCAGACATCTGTTTAACACATTGCCTGCCAGAATAGGTGGAGAAGAAGGGTGTGTGTGTGTGTGCGCCCTGTTTCTGTAGAGCGCTTTTAGCCTCAGTGATTCATCGTGCAGGTCTGAACCAAAACCTGAAGCGCTGGTTTGACTGTAATTTTCTTAATGCACAGACAGCTCGTCTCGCTGTGTGTTTTCAGTTATCAGAAATTTTCTCATTTAGCTCATGATTTCATATGAAGCTTTCAGTTGAAGTCACTGGTGTGACCGACTTTATTCTGAGGTCATTGTGAAAAAATAGAATACAAATGGATGAAATTCCATATTTTAGTGGAGGTTCCATGATTGACAACATGTGGTTTGATGCTCTGTAGCAGCCGTTTTCTAAATGCATTTTTCATTAAAAACGTCTCTGGTGTTACCTTTCTTATGTGTAACCCCAGTGACGATCAGTAACACCAGTGACGATCAGTAACACCAGTGACTCCTCTGGATAGATAGAAAAGTGGACAATTCTGTAGAATGACCCATCTGTTGAAATGGACAAAAGTTCAGTCACAGTGTTGAATGCTGAATTTTGTTTGTACTTTTCTCTCTGTTTATAGGCAAACAGTAGAGGTGGGTGATATGGCAAAATGTGATATCACGATTCTTCAGAAAGTTCTTACGATACACAATGGGCCACAATATTCATTTATTCTGACATCTAATAATAATAATCTTTATTTATATAGCACCTTTCATACATTTAAAATGCAGCTCAAAAAAAATAGGATCAAAAACTACGAATCTAGTTCATTGTATTCACCATTTCACACACAGTGCTTAAGCTCCACTACTTGTTATCTACCTTAGCCTTACGTGATTTAAATGTTTTTATCAGGCTATTCCTGTAAAGATAATCAGAGGTGGTGCGATATGGCAAAAAATGTAATATCACGATGCTTCAAGAAGTTTCCACGATACACAATATGTCATTTATTTTTACTGACAACTGATGAGTAGAAACAAAAAACAAACTGTAACATACTGTTAAATTCAGTTAACCAGGCCGAATTATTCCCTCTTTTCAATCAAACGTGTCGTTGGTTAGTGGTTTTAAGTACTGATGGTGTCCATGATATGACTAGAAAAGCACATTGTGATGTAATTTATCACGATAATGATAAATATGGTCATATTGCCCAGCCCTAAAGCTAATACGTCATTAGCATTAAGAAGCACAATACGATGTGGAATATTTTGCAGTGATTACCGGCTCTGAATGAGGTGATGAGCTACACAGTAATGGCAACGTTAAGGTCAGCGCGCTGTCCTTCATTCGGACCCTGTAATGGACGGAGGTGTTGGCTATCTGAGTCTCTTCCTCTAATGGCTTGTTAAGTAGAGCTTGTTTGGCTCAGGCACTTAGTCGTCCATCCAGTGTTCCTGGGTCTGTCGGAGAGAGAGATGAGTGAGCTTGTTTTGGGAGGGAGGGAGGGAGATTGTAGATAGGTTTGCGGACCGATGGGAGGCAGTAGGGTCAGTTTTGAGAGGTGCAGGATAAAACCTGCTTAGGTTAGCTGAGCAGTTTTAATGAGCACCATTTATTTAGCCTGTTATTATCATTAGCCTAGTATATCACTGTATACTCTTCCTTCACTCTCTCTCTCTCTCTCTCTCTCTCTCTCTCTCTCTCTCTCTCTCCTGTCTGTTTCTCTTTTTGCTCTCTCACTTTTCTCTTTCTCTCTCTCTTTTCTCTCGGTTTCTCTTTTTGCCTTTCTCAGCCTCTCTCTTTTCTCTCTCTCTCTTTTCTCTCTGTCTATCTCTCTTTTTGACTTTCTCTCTCTCTTCTCTTTTCTCTTTCTCATCTTGCTCTCTCTCTTCCTCTTTTGTCTCTACCTCTTCTCTATCTCTTTTCTCTCTCACCCTCTCTGTTCTCTCTCTTTCTCTCTTCTCTCTCTCTCTTTTCCGTCTGTCTGTCTCTCTTTTTCTTGTCTCTTTTTTCTTATCTCACTCCCATTATCTGCTGTCTCTCTTCTCTATTCTACTGTCTGTCTGTCTGTCTGTCTGTGTGTGTCTCTCTCTGTCTCTCTCTCTCCTGTTTCCCGCACTCTGTGTGTGCCGTAGTCCGTAATGGAGGAATGCCCCACCGTGTCTGGGAATGTCCTGCCTCTCTCAATATTTTCGGAAACTCGACCAAAGGAAGGAAAGTTGTTAGAGAATCTCACTTCCGCCCTGAGTGCATAAACGCAAGGAAGTGTGTGTGTGTGTGTGTGTGTGTGTGTGTGTGTGTGTGTGTGTGTGTGTGTGTGTGTTCATGGCTGTGGAATTTTAGCAGCTGTCTTTAACAGTCCCCGAGGGGCCGTATGTGGGGCCCCGTGTGCAGACGGCCTACAGAAAGCCACACATACTGTAGTGCAGAACGCAGTGGATCTGAATCAGACACTGCAGGAGTAACTCTCAGCAGACTGCAGTCACTACAGTGCTTTCACTCTGCGTTCTCTCTCTTGCTCTCTCTTCTGTCTCTCTCTCTTTTTTCTCTTTTACCCCCCCCCGATTATTTCTCTCTCACCCTCTTTCTTCTGTCTCTCTCTCTTTTTCTCCCTCTTGCTTTTTTTTCTCTCACTCTTTCTCTCTCATTCATCTCTCTCTCTTTTTGTCTCTCGCTCTCTCTCTCCTGTCTCTCTTCTGTCTCTCTCTTTTTCTTTCTCTCTTTTTGTCTCTCTCTCCCTCTCCCTTTTCTCTTACCCTCACTGTTCTCTCTCTCTTCTATCTTTTCTATCTTCTCTCTCTTCTATCTTTTCTATCTTCTCTCTCTTTCCCTTTTTCTTCTCTCTCGCTCTCTCTCTCTCTCTCTCTCTCTCTCTCTCTCTCTCTCTCTCTCTCTCTCTCTGCGTGTGTGTGTCAGTGCTGTCCAGTTGAGTTGATGAATGTTCCTCTTGTGTCTCTGATGGCCGAGGCCAGGGTGGGAGACTCCTGTTTAGGATCAGAGGAAATAGGGAGGGGATGGAGTGATGTGCGTGTGGGAGTGAGAGAAAAAAGAGACTGACAGGATGGGGGGGGTGGGGTTGGGGTGAAAGAGAATAGACAAGTGTTTTTTAAAAACGACAAAAACAAGTGGCACTGTTTGTGGTTTTGGTGCATTGAGTTATAAGAGGCAGGTGCAGGGAGTGTGCAGTGAGTGACGGATGTTTTCTTTTTGGATAGATGAGAGAGAAAGAGAGAGAGAAAGAGAGATTCGTAATGTCAAGCTGCTGCGTTTGTAAAATGACTAAATTTACAAAGATTTTACCTCAAATAAAGTTAATCTGTCAAGTATAGTCAGATC